GGGGCGGGAGTATGGTGAGTATTGTGTGCCCGTTTTTGTGGTTTCCCGGTGCCTGAGGTGGGGGGTTGGGGAGTTGCTTGTTTGCTTATTTTCCTTGTTGGGGTTGGGGGCAAGAAGGTGGTTATGGCTTCTACTTCTACGGATTGCTAATTCTGGGGGGGGTCTTCTTGCTGCAGTGATGAAATTCTTCCCCAAGGAATTGTGGCAGACCATCCAGCCGAGCTTCAAGCCCGATGCTGCGATGGACGGATACGTGCTGCGGATCGATCGGCCCGGAATCCGGCGCGGCTTTGAGGACGATGAGGATGAGGAGGACGACGAGGCGGGCAAGAAGGGGAAGGCTGGAGAGGAGGGCGAGGCGGAGAACGAGGATGGTGAACGGGAGATCCTGGACCCCGATGAGGAGGAGGAGGAGGAGATCATGGATGATGACTTCGAGGATGACGACGACGATATGGGTGGCGATTACAACGCGGAGCAGTACTTCGATGGCGGAGACGATGAGTACGGCGACGATGGGCTGGGAGATGGTGGCGGCGGTGGTGGTGATGAGGATACGTATTAAAAAGCGGGCGCTTATTTTTAAGATACCCTTATATTCATTATCTCCTTCGATCTTATCAATCTGAGCGATTTATCGGTCTTTATGGTTTGACACATGTGTAAATTGCCCTTGTTCTTTTTTGAGACAAAGCTGTTCGCCAGCAGTTGTAATAGTGGTTTTCTTTTCACAATGAATTTCTTCAAAGGTTGATGTTATGCATAGTCAGATCATTAGGTAGAAGACCCCTATCAACTCAACTTGAAGACCCAGCAATCCATACCAGCGAAAAAGACTCCAAATTCCCCTCCCAACGAGAGCCCGATCGTCGGGATGACGTCATCCCGCTTTTGTCGGCGCAAAAGGCCTTCGTTCCGGAGGAGGGGGTTTCCCCAAAGAAAAAAAGATAGCGAGTGAAAGTTGAGGGATTGTACCGCAAAAGCGAAAAGTGACTCGCTCCGGTCCCGCTATCGATATCACCTTAACTACAGGTATTGCGCGAGCAGCCGTTGCTTTTCCCCCACGTGCATGCACCAGAAGCAATGAACGCCAGCAATCCACTACCCACCCAACAGAGACGCTCTGCGCTCGTCCTCTATGGCTCCGAAACTGGCAATTCCCAAGAAGTCGCCGAGGAGCTGGGCGCATTAACCGAGCGGCTCCATTTCAAGACCCATGTTGCGGAACTGAATCAGTACAAGCCGGTACGTGCGGTCCCCAAATCGCGCGATGTTAGATGGCAGAGAGAGAGTGTGTGTGCGCACGCACGCACGAAATCCCCCACGCTAATTTGATAATGTTGTCTGTAGGAAACACTCAACTCATACACGCTGGTGCTCTTTGTGGTTTCCACCACCGGGCAGGGTGATTTCCCGGCGAATGCGCGATCGTTTTGGCGATCGTTGTTGTTGAAGAAGCTCCCCGCGACGTTTCTGAGCGGAATCAGTTTTGCGGCTTTTGGGTTGGGGGATAGTTCCTATCCGAAGTGAGTGCAATGGGAAATTGTTTTGATGGGGGTTCTTGGAGTAACCAAGAAGCTGATTGATGCTGGGATAGGTTTAATTGGGCTGCTCGCAAGCTGCATAAACGATTGCTTCAATTGGGCGCGGAGGAGGTACATCCCTGCGGAGAGGCGGATCAGCAACATCCCGAGGGGTGAGATTTTTTTTTCCTTGCTCGTTGACAATCCGCCCGGGAGACGCGAAGATGCTGATGTGCTGGTTGTGATAGTCTTGAGGGGACATTTATCCCGTGGTTCACCAGGCTCCGTGAGCATCTCCTCGACACATATCCGCTTCCGCCAGGGCTGGTGCCGATACCGGACAACGTCCAGCTGCCTCCGAAATGGGTCTTGCAACTACGAGATGAGGCGGAGGGATTCTCGACATCGGAGCAAACCATAGAAAATACCAATGGATCTTCTGAGCTGGATCGACTCGGTCATGATCTTCGGCCGCTGCCGGATACGCTGACGGCGACACTGACAGAAAACAGGCGGGCGACCGCGGCGAATCACTGGCAGGATGTGCGCCATTTATCCCTGACTGTCTCTGAGGCGGTGTCCTACGTCCCTGGGGATATGCTATCCATCACACCGAAGAACTTCGCCGTCGACGTAGACAATCTAATCACGATGATGGGCTGGGAGGCAGATGTCGACCGGCCGGTGACACTCGTCCCTGGGCCGACTTTACTCTCGGCAGACGACGATGACATGCCTTCTCCACCTATCCAGGGTCTCGACTCATATCCCAAACTGACCTTACGCGCTCTCCTTACCGATTACCTCGACATTCAGGCCATCCCTCGCCGAGCGTTCTTCGCTACAGTGGCTCATTACACGGACTACGAGATGCACAAGGAGCGTCTTCTGGAGTTCACCAACCCCGAGTTCCTGGATGAACTGTGGGATTACACTACTCGACCGCGACGCAGCATCCTGGAGGTGCTGCACGAGTTCGACTCGGTGAAGATCCCGTGGCAGCATGCTGTATCGGTGTTTCCGATCATGAGAGCGAGACAGTTCAGTATTGCCAGCGGGGGTGCACTCAAGCATACAGCGGAGGGAGGCACCAAATTCGAGCTGCTGATCGCTATCGTCAAGTATCAAACAGTCATCAAGCGCATTCGACAGGGGGTCTGCACCCGGTATCTAGCGGTGCTTCAACCCGGAAGTACGCTTCAAGTGCAGTTGCAGCGTGGCGGCCTGAACTCATCTGTCAACCAACTAGTAGGCCCGACGGTCTTGATTGGCCCTGGGACTGGAATCGCGCCCCTGCGATCGATGATCTGGGAGAAGGCCGCGATCGTCAAGGCGTACAAGGAAGAAAACCTGGGAGTTGAGCCTCCGATCGGGCCAACTCTGCTCGTGTATGGAGGTCGCAACAGAGAGGCGGATTTCTTCTTCGAACAAGAGTGGGAGGAGCTGGGGGAGCTGGTCCGTTTAAAGGTCCTGACTGCGTTCTCGCGAGATCAGAAGCAGAAGGTCTACGTTCAGGATGTGATCCGCGAGAATGTCAGCCTCCTCTTTAAACTCTTGCATGACATGCGTGGCTCGGTGTACATCTGCGGATCATCTGGGAATATGCCCAAAGCCGTGCGGCAGGCCCTCACTGAGGCATTTCAGCACGGACCGGAGGTGGAGACGGATCGGTTCAATGAACAGGGCGCCGAGCAGTATCTGCTGGGGATGGAGAAGACAGGCCGGTATAAACAAGAAACGTGGTGATCAGTGAGTCAGTCAGTGAGACCTACTGCATAACCCTTTTTTTTTGGGGAAAACGAGACATGAGAAACCATTTTAGAACATAATTCAAGCACGATGAGGTCATTTGTCTTTTATCAGCTGTCAAGGGGACTGACTCTCCAAGTAGTAGCTAGACATCTACCCAGACTTACCTCGGTTGGAGGCGGGAATGACACAGGCGGGAGAGATGATGAGCTCGGCCCGCCTCGGGGGCTTCTCCGCCTAGAGTCACCTGCTTTCTGCCGCGGATGGATTGGGAGTCTGTGACTGCTCCGTCGGATCGGTTTAAGCTACAACGCTATTTCCCTTTCGACTCTCTTCCTCCCCCTCTCTCTTTCCCCTCTCCTGCCTCGCGCTCTTTACATTTTACCTTCACGTGCCCATCGGAATTGTTCTCGCTTGGTCCAACACCTCTCACATAACAATCACAATGGCCAGCAACCTCCGGATTCTTGTCCCCGTCAAGCGGGTTATCGACTATGCGGTGAGTTTTTACTTCCCTGCCGTGCTCCGGCTTCGGTGAGAAGTCGAAGTTCCCGAGTCGAATCTCCGCGCCACGATGCCCCCATACCCATTGCACTGCACCCACCGATACTGGAGTCTCAAGTTCGAAATCAAGCTCAGCATGTTCATATTCATACGACTTGGCAGCCATTACCGATATGAAAAAGATAAACTAACAGACCATTCCCTACTCAACAGGTCAAACCCCGCGTGAATAAAGCCAACACTGGCGTTGAAACGGCCGGCGTCAAGCACTCGCTCAACCCATTCGACGAGCTCTCGGTTGAGGAGGCCGTGCGTCTGCGCGAGCGGCACACCAAGAAGCAGAGCCCGATCAAGGTGGACCAGATCCTGGCGCTGTCGGCGGGCGGGCCCAAGTGCGCGGACACGCTGCGCACGGCGATGGCGATGGGCGCGGACCGGGCCTTCCACGTCGACGTGGGTGACAGCCCGGACGGCGGGCCGGAGCCCCTGACCGTGGCCAAGATGCTGCAGGCGGTGGTGAAGCAGGAGAACATCAACCTGGTGCTGCTGGGCAAGCAGGCGATCGACGGCGACCAGGGCCAGACCGGCCAGATGCTGGCGGGCCTGCTGGGCTGGCCGCAGGCGACCCAGGCCAGCAAGGTCGAGATCAAGGACGAGAGCGGTACGGTCGAGGTCACACACGAGGTCGACGGCGGCGTCGAGACCCTGCGCGCGCAACTGCCCATGATCATCACGACGGACTTGCGGTTGAACGAGCCCCGGTACGCCACGCTGCCGAACATCATGAAGGCGAAGAAGAAGCCACTCGAGAAGAAGACGTTGGCCGATTTCGGTATCGAGGATAAGAAGCGGTTGAAGACGATTAAGGTCACTGGTGAGTTTCGCTGGCGTGTTTTTATCGGTCAAGAGATGAGAACCGGAGCTAATCCTTTCTTTCTAGAACCTCCTGCTCGCCAGGGTGGTGGTAAGGTTGAGGATGTGGACGGATTGATCGGCAAGTTGAAGGAGCTGGGTGCTCTGTAAGGGTTTGTGGTGGCAAGGAGCGGAGCATTTGCGTATGTTTGTGTTTTGTATGTTTATGACTGACTACCTACCTACCTAGACTTGGTTCGGTATTTTTACTCTTTTATTCCCCGAGGGGATATATATCATTTTTTGCATACATTTTTCTTCGTTGCTCTTCCTTCACTCGAAGCTTTCCTCATTCTAGCCCTATCTATTACATCCTCCTTGGACTACTTATTTGCAGATCCATCGGTGGCATGCATACCTCTCCGTCTTCGTCTTCTATCCGGCAACAGTTATGTATCGCTTCGTAAAGATTGCCTGACTCGCCATCGTTCTACGTCACAGGGCATGTGGTAGTCCTCGCACGGTTACTGCGTGGGCGGCAGTGGAGGGACTGGTGTATCCCTGTAGCCCGAAGAAAATGCTCCATTTCGAAAAGAAAACAAAGAATGGTTCGAGTGCATTGACAGACAATGATCGAACAAGATGCTCTATGGGAATCTCCCTAAAATGTCCCGAAGGATATCCCTTCCACGCTTCCACCATGCGAATATAAAGACCACGGGAACGTGCAAATCGTGACTCTCCCATCTTCGACCGGTAAGTCCATCATCTCAGACAGGATACGTTTCCACGCAGAAGCAGAATTCATTGTTCGAGAATTGCTGACTACTACGAAAATCAGTGAAATCGCCGGTTAACAACAATGGCCGACGTGGATATGACCACCATTCACCTCATCGACACTGAAGATAGGGTTAGTAGCCTTGTCGATGTGATCAACGCACATCGCTTCGAGCCACTCTACATCGATCTGAAAGGTGTCAATCTCTCCCGCGGAGGTACCCTGAGCCTGATGCTAATCTACCTGGAATACACTAACGACATCTATGCAGTGGATCTCCAGACCCTCGGCGCCCGGGCCTTCTCGACGACCGCGAGTTCCCGTTTCTACGACACCACTAGCCTCCAGACCATTCTCGAGTCACCCGAAACCCCCAAGGTCTTCTTCGAGGTGTGGGATGGCTCGGACGCGCTGTTCAACCAGTTCCAGATCCTCCTCCAGGGCGTCGACGACCTCCAGCTGGTGCAGCACGCCGCCTCGGGTGGGTGGCTGCGCGGCAACGGTCGGGTGATCAACCTCGCGACGTGCATCAAGAACGACGCCGGGCTGACCGAGCCCGAGGCGCGCCGCTGGCGGGCCGAGAAAGAACGCGGCCGCTCCGGCTACTTCTACATCGGCCGCGACGGCGACGACCACATCCTGCGTCGCCGGCCGCTGGACGACGACTTCCTGAACTACTGCGCGGCAGATGTCGCGTACTTCCCTAAGCTCCGCCGCCGGTATTCGCGCCCGCTGGACGTGTTCTGGACGTGGATGGTGGAGCGGGCGGCGCAAGCCCGGGTCGCTGAGTCCCAGGAGCCCGGGTTTCGGACTCACGGTGGCTGGCGCGGTCGGATCCTCGGGCCCTGGGATGGGCATCGGGTGCAGGCTCTGCGGAAGAAGTTCGTCGAAGAGACTGGGGAAGATTACGGGTTTGAGAAGGGGTGGGCGGTTGCTTGCAAGAATTGGCGACAATGACTGATGAGCATACGGTCTGACCCTTTCTTGCGGTGAGGTTTATTTGAGTTGTTCCTTTCCACCAAATGAATGACTATCAAAATCAACATATTGCTCTATAACCCTTTTTTCCCATGCCTTTCATGTTATGTAAATGTAGTTCTTCGGTGACTAGCCACCACACCTCTGTTCGGCTGCCATGATTTAGCACCCTGCCTCTCTCCGAAGACATTCTCCAATACTTCTCCTCATATCAAAATCTTTGTGGTAATCAAACCTGCCTACAACTTTCAGCCTAATTCTCTCAGGCAGTGGTAAGTAGCAACTCTCCCGAAATTCTTGCTCAGGACCAATACCCAAGAATAACCCCCACACCATGTCTATTCATAGACCGACCACAACAAAAAAAAAAAAAAAACAAATCAGCTCGAACGCACCATTTACCGGTACGGAGTGTACTCCACAATCCAATGTCTCAAGTATATCAGTCCCCTGCATTTCCAGTTCTAGTGCGGCGCAGCCGCATTCTAGAAGCGCAGCTGAAAAGCGTGCCGGTGCAGGAAGGTTTTTGATCCCTCGTTTTCTAGAACCTTGTCTTGTACAGAGTATTTCCCGGTTTTTTTTTTCATGTTGACCGGTGTGGATAGCGTAGATCGGGTTCGGGATCGGTACATGGTAGATTTACTTGGTGCGTGGAATGGATGGATCGCTGAGTGTGGTGGGTTGAGTTGATTAATTGATCGATCGGTTGTTTGGGCGGGTTGTATAGATTGTTGGATGGATAGATATGTCGGTGCAGGTTGGGTTTGGCGCGTGGGGAATGTGATGTATCGCGGTTGGTGTTGGGAGGGGTTTTCTGGAAGGAGTGGGTCGGTGCATGCAATCAGGGGAATAGGAAGAGCGTGCTGGATGAGGCTATGGTTATTTTTTTTTCGAAGACCTAGTACGGTTGGAAGGGGTTGATGGGATGGAAGTTGGTGGTGGTGGTGGTGGTGATGTGTAGATCTATATGAAAAGTACGGTATGTAGCTGATGGGGTTGATAGTGTTAGCTCGGCGTTATCTCGCGAATACTCCCCCCAAAGCAGCTGGTCATCGTTGGGCTATATTTTAGGCAAGGTACTTCTTCGGTAATCAGCAGGGCCGATGGCGTAGTGGGGAACTCGCCGAGCGTAGCCAAGGTCAAATGCCATCAGTCCCGCGTTCGACTTCCGGCGGGGGAGAAGGAGATAACGCCTGACGCAGGAATATCCTCCCCTCCACCCGCCGGGAGAAAAGAACTGGGATGAAAACCTCCGGGATAAGAGGGGGTTTTCGTAGCACTGCACAGAGGAGTAGCCTATCAACTCATACGGTGGCTGCTCCTGCAGTGTGAGCTTTTTGGATTTCTATTTTTTGGGTAGTATCCTTTTGTTTTCTTCTCTGGTGTAGCAAATGGTTTATTGCGGTTGATGAGGTATATGTGGATGAGGGTTGATTTCAACTTCCATGTACTTCGCATTTGTCTATGGGCAGGTCGATACTTACACAAAGAGATGAAATAAACAGTGGCACGCGTTGTGTTACGGTTGATGTGGCACTGATTAACTTCCATTTTCGCTTCTTCAGAGTCTCTATACATGAATGCTTTATCCATTCTATTTCACAGCTCCTTGATGAAATGAGGACATTGCGAGGCCAACAGCCGATCCGGGAGGACAGCCATTGTTCAGAGTTCTTGATGCTGGTGAACGGCTAATGGGCCTCAGGGCTCGTCTGTAGGAACCCAAGTGCAGTTTGTCAGTTGTTTGTTCCTCCTGCGGAGCTTAAAAGTATCCATGGCTAAGTTTAATTGATAAAGGTGGCAGATGGACAGATGAGCCTTGAGCCTAGTCGATGCTGACTCAGGCTCAGAACCCCCCTCCTTCCCCCCCCAAGAAGAAGCTACACGGGCTAAATAAGGCTTTTTAGAAAAACCGGCTCCTATTGCTGTATTCAGCATAGGAACTCGCGCTTGGACTATCTACATCTACAGCCAAGCAACTCAACATGCCAGCCCATTCTCGGGGAGAGAGACTGGCGATGAACTTCTGCCCCGAGGCTTCCTCGCGACAGATGCGTCTCAGGAAAGGAGAGAACAGAAGACGTCTACTGTATGTATGGCCTACGCTGCACAAGGTTGGGGGGTCTTCAGTGCCCGGGTCGTAGAGTTTCGGATGTGCCGAGTGCTGTCGGCTGTCTGTTAGGGTGAAGATGCAGCTGTAGTTGTAGCTGTAGCTGTAGCGGAGTTGCAGCAGAAGTATCCGTAAACCACCCTCATGACAGCTACTCTACCTGTCTTAGTCTTGTTGCCCTGAGGAAGAGCTTTTTGGTCTGCACATACTGGTTTTGGTTAATTTGACGATGAGAATGCGCCCCTGACAGCAGTCGACGACACCACACAGCAACTTCCCACCTTCATTTCTGTTGATGCTATCACGTATCCTAAATCCTGCATGAAGGATTTAGATTGACCTACTATTGAATAAAGCTAAACCCACTAGTTCTCGTGTGCAAGGTTTGATCCTGAGCCACAGAATGGTTCCTGACAAGTACTCCGTACAAGACCAGTAGTTCTCCAGCTGTCATGCGCCAGCTGCTAGATTAGGGCTAGATCCATCACCGTCGGATCGAATCTGCATCGCAGCCCAGCCCAGAAGAGAAGCAGAAGCTTCGGTTCGCATGACAGGACAGGGTGGCGACTGGGGGGCCCTTGGGCCCGGGGCCTGTCAGATTCAGATTCCCCGTGATGGGCTTTGGTAACTAAGGTATGGAAACCTCGACGGTTTCTGTTTAGGCTGTCCACTCCTCATTGTTCCATTTCTCGGTTTCGTCTGGAATGTTTCCTAGCTTTCCTTTCCATGTTGATAGAGCCAATTAGACCCCTCCGCCGGGGGGATGCTTGTCCACTCAGCACTGCGGAATGTCTGGGAAAGAACCTTGATCCCCGGAGGGAATCTCACCCAGATACAGTAGTTTAGGGTTCATCCCGTATGTGCCTGGCTTCAATGTATCCCTACCCGTCGAGTGGAAGCAGATTCAGCCCCGGTAGTTTGAGACTTGCGAATAGCTGCAAGATCGATCCTCTTCTGCACACACAGCACACATACACACACACACCTCCGATTACGTAGTACTTCGTACTGTACCATCATTGCAAGCCGCAATAACCGCAAACTGCAATTCCTCGTGCTCCTCAACCCTCACCTCCACCGGAACTCCTAATAGACAGATGTGATGTGTACGATTCTTTTCTCAATTCCTATCCGTTCCGTTTTCCCCTCGTTCTAGTGGCAAAGACGGATTGATGGGGACAAAAAGTCAATTTCAATGGCATGTGTGGGTGGGTGTTTGTGGGAACATCATGCCCTTTCTGAACCATCACGGGGCAATGAGTGATGAAGGCTGGAATCGAAGATTTGGCTACGGAAATCTGATATGTCGAGTTTTCTTTCAGGTTCTTGTTCCCAACTCGGAGGGAGGGAGCTTATCTATCTACTTTTCGTTCGGTCTTTGTTTGGGGGGGGGGGGAGAAGAGTGGAGGGCAGGAAAGGCATTGCAGATCGAGATAGAGTCTCGAAATGGATGAAGGACACGAAACAAGAAAAAAATTGTGAGGGTGAGGATCTGGGCTAGACCTTTTGTCGCTGGGGTGGTTCTTTTGTTGTTGTTGAAGATGAAGATGATGTGCCGCCGCCACTGTCATCATGTCAACGCTCGTCAGGTTTTTTTTTGGTTGATGTTTAAGTAGAACCTGTCTTTGAGAGAAAAAACTGGATTTGGGAGTTTGTAGGAGGTCAACATCCCCCGAGCAAACCGGACGGAAAAAAAAAAACAAAAAAAAAAAAAAAAAAGAGATGCAGCAATTGGAGAGAAAAAGTCCCCGGGTGAGGAGCAGAACTAGAAATTATCGACGGAGGTTGTGTTTACGGACGGTGGACCACTGTCACCGGATCAGGAATGGGGGGATTGGACCTGTCATGGAAACCAGAGAGCAAGAAGGGAGGAGGGAGGATAAAGAAGGAAAAATGCGAGGGTTGGGTAAAGAGTGGGTGGTAGATGGATGAGTGGGTTGGGGTGGATGAATAGAGAGATGCATATAGTATATCTTCACCTAAGCTAGATCCTCGCAATTAACACTAAATCGACTACAAGGGGGAGGGGAGGTAGGAAGTATAGAGACCAGGTCGAAGAAGCAAAACAAATAACCCTCTCTGGGTCCCTTTGAAGGTAATTCACCTAGGCGACTCGAGGAAGATTTTTTTTTTTTTTTTTTTTTTTTTTTTTTTTTTTTTTTTGCGTTGGCGGAAGGGGGGGGGGGGGAGAGGGCGAGGGAGAGCTGAATTAGGGGAGAATTAAAGGTCTAGAGGCTGAAGGCTGGGGTTGGCTTCACTCTCTTCCTGAAAAAAGTTACCGCGATTGGATCTGTCAGATGCCCGTTCGCAGCGCGCGCGGGTTGGATACATCGACATCGCATCCGAATGCAGGGATGGAGAATATTGAGAGGACGGTACTGTACTCTGTACTCCGCACAAAGGAAGCCTGGTGGCCAAAAAAAAAAAAAATCTGGTGTTTGGGTCAAGAAAAAGACATTATCCGAATTTCAGGACGACTCTGAGAATTCCATGAGTAACTACTAATCCAGCTGGAATAACTATAGCCGAAGGGGAGGAAGGAAGAGGCCCAGAAGGAAAGAAAAGAGGATCAGGTTCAGGGACCCTCTTTTTTTTTCTCTCCCCTCGGGTAGACTAGATTACGGTACGTAGTCGATGACGATGCGATCTGATCAGCATGCAATTTCTGACTGTCTGGACCTCCGGTTCTAGGGCATACGTGTAGTTCCGGCGAGAGTTGGGTTTACTCCAGACAAGAACATTGTATTATTCTATGGGTCTGGATGGTGGGCTTCCTCAGTGAAAACAACAACAACAATGATAATAACACCTTTTTCACAATGAGAAAAGAATGAGAAAAAGGAATGCGTCGGAAATGAAATCAAATTGAAGATGTCTGTGCTGGCCGCGATAATGCCGAGCAACTGGGGCTGGCTGGGGCTTATCGGCCGGTCATGCATGAGTGATGCAGTCATGATGTCTTTCCTCTTTTCGCTCCCCTCATCTTCTTCAACTTTCTTTCTACCTTTCTTTCGTTCTGTCTTTCAACAACTCACTCCTCCCACTCCAGATGCTTCGTCATCTGCCTCGATTTCCCTTCCCCTTGGTGAGCAGCTAGCTTTCTGCATATCCGGAACCAGCCACGGCGCCACTTTCATGTTTCCAACCATGCCCTTCCGACCCAGCCGTGCTGGACTGCTGAACTGGTAGTGGTGCCTGGCCCTTTGGCCCTTAGTTACTCAGTATTCCGTATTCAGTACTCTGTAGTTACCGGCACTCACGACTCTGTATTTTTGATTCTCTTCTCTCTGCCAGCTGCAGCTGCATCTATACCAATCGGTTTTAGCTCTTCTACTTCTTACTTCCTCCCTTCTCCCTCCACTTCCTACTCTGTAAACTGCATTGCTTGTTAGGACTATTGTTTTTCTGTTATTAACGTGACTGTGTTCTTTTTCTTGCTGGATATTTTCTTTCCCTCCTTTCGTCAACCCCCCAGCAACTGCATCCAGCTGGCTGATCGTACATCTCTAGCCTAGCTCATCTGACCGAACCGGACGGGTTCGACACAGTCGATCATCACCTGCCGACTGAGTTTACTTACTATATATCTTTGCCTCCAAATCCTACTCTCCCCTCTTTCCCCCCTCATTCCCTGTGCAGGATATACTTACTCCCTTCCTTTCATTTTTGTTTTTGACTCTGCATCAACTCTCTTGTCTTTTGTCTCTTGTCACCTGGGTAGCCTTACGTTACCCCAACAGGTCTAACAAATCCAATCCAATCCTATCGCATTCAATTGCTTACTACCCAACGTTGCCCGGCCCGTTTTGCCCTGGTAAGCAGTGCCTCCCCGTTCGTTCCGTGGTTCTCCTCTTAGAGACTCTCGTATGCTACCAGCCCTTGCCACTGGATCACCGGCTCTCTCGGTCTGGATCTGGGCGGATCTCACGGACATTTCCGTCAGTCGTCTCTGATGAGTTTTAATCCCGATGATGACCATGACCATGACCATGACTATGACCGTGACCATAAACTGTGCTCCCCCTTCCCCTCCTCCTTCCAAAAGCTTCTCCGCCTTATTGCTTGCTTGCTTGCTTGCCTGCTCGCCAGCTCCATTCTTCTTCAGCCAGCTAATTTCCTTTGCGCCGCCTCTAGATAGTTGCTGGCATTCCTCAGACCCGCATTCCTCGGTTGTGTCAGCGACCATCGATAACTATCCGTTTCCAACTGCGCTGTATACATTCTCGAGTTACATTGGGGAAATTAAACGGCAACACATGTTTATTGCGCCCGCCGTGTTCGTCCATCTATCGTTGCGCTTGTGGTTATAGACGTGCGCTCCTACTTCGCACCCCTTCCTGGTCACCCACTCCTCTCACCCAGGACTAAGTCCTGCTCTACTATCAGTTGCTGCGCGTCCGGCGATCCAAGTGGCAGTCGCCGTTGAGTCGCCACAATGCCTTCCACCTTTTGGGAGCGGACGAAAGGGACGTCCAAGAAAGGATTCGACAAGGCATGGCACACCCTCGACAAACTGGGGGATCCCGTCAATCGACTCTCCAATCGAGTCGGCGCAGAGGCCTTCTGGCCCATGGCCATTGACAAAGAGAGCGACAAGGCAGCGCGCATCTTACGAAGCTTCTGCAAGGATGGTTTTTACAGCGAGGAGGATGCGGATCGCCAGAGTACCGACAGCGCGGTCAACCCGACGACCGGCAAGATCGACCGTCCCAAAGGCAAACAACGAGTCCTCAAGAAAATCCCTTCGAGAGTCATCCAGCAGGCCAAAGGCCTCGCCATCTTCACCACCATGCGCACGGGTCTCTGGCTAAGCGGCTCAGGCGGAAGCGGTGTTCTTCTGGCACGGATACCTGAAACAGGCGAGTGGAGTCCTCCGTCGGGCATCATGCTGCATACGGCGGGCATTGGGTTCCTAGCCGGGGTGGATATATATGACTGTGTGGTCGTCATCAATACATACGAAGCGCTAGAAGCATTCAAGAAAGTTCGCTGTACCCTCGGAGGAGAAGTAAGCGCCTCTGCCGGTCCGGTTGGCATGGGTGGTGTTTTGGAATCAGAAGTCCACAAGCGACAAGCCCCGATCTGGACCTACATGAAAAGTCGGGGGTTATACGCAGGGGTCCAGGTCGACGGAACGATCATCATCGAGCGAACCGATGAAAATGAACGGTTCTACGGCGAGCGCATATCTGTGACGGATATCCTGGCTGGCAAGGCCAAAACCCCTCCTGCATCGATTCAAACACTGATGCAAACAATCAAGGCTGCCCAAGGAGATACTAATGTGGATGAAACCCTCTTGCCACCTCCAGGGGAGGCCCCCGGCGATGTCGAAGTCGGCCCTGCGATCGGCTCCTTTGGTGTACCTGATCCAGAGGATCCCGACCCGTTTGGTGTAAAGGCGTTAGAAGCGGAGGGTCTTTTCATTCGTGAGGCTGGTTCGCGAAGCAGACCGTCGCAGGAGGCCTTCGAATTCAAACCCGCCCCAAGCAGTCCTGTGTATGCCACTTTCCGCCGCAGTCTCGATAGCTCACCCCGCAGCAGCTGGCGCGCGAGTGTGCAGAGCTACGCCAGCATAGATCGAGGGACCCAGACAGATGATGGTCCGGCTACAGCGCCACCTTCTGTCAGTCGCGCCTCTTCCCGGAGTTTTCGAGACCACGAGGAGTCCCGTTTAGGTGCTGTTATTCCCGAACATGGCGAATATCATATTCCCACGGACGCCCCGGTTGCCGCCGCCGAAGAAGAAGACGACTTGGTGGACGATGACGATCTCGAGGTGCACGAAGTCAGCAGTGCAACTGTCTCCAAGCGAGAAAGCACCGCCCATTCCCCCGTTTCCATTGAAGACTCAACAATGCCTTCTGAACTTCGACGTTACTCACCCACCTTCACGCGTGCCCGGTTGGTAACCATTCCCAAGCGCGTCCCACCTGCGCTTCCACCAAGAAACCCCTCGCGTACTCCTGGTTCTATCTCAAACTCAACCCCCACTTCGCCGACCTCGTTCTCCCGCTCTCACAGTCGTCGCCGGTCCGTGGCGTCGAGCCCTGGACGCTCTGGAATGATTGGGCTTACCGAACTACCCCTGCACTCCCTTTCTGACGACTCGCTCAGTGACTCCTCGTCCAATGCCGCAGCGGAGTCGTATAACAAGACATCACCTGATCGGGAGGATTTCCACTCCGTGTCCAGCATCCACGACTCGGATGCCGCTTCGGAAACAGAAGCTAGCATCAAGGAGATTGATGCCAAGTCTGACTTGGCGGTCATTGCAGCTGACGACAAGGCTGAACTTGCAAAGACACTTGCTTCCGATGCAGATGTCAAGGGCACAGCAGCGACATCCCCTCACCTTGCATGAAGATGCGTCACCATATTGCTTTCATCAGCGTTTCACTTCAAAAGACTTTGCTTTCGTCTGTATATATATATTTCCTTCAGGCACATGCTTGGGACGGTGGTCCTCTCATATATGACACCGATTGACCTGCAAGGCACCTAATATCGGTCCTCGCGATCTTTCTATGTCTGTGACTTTATTTATGCCCTTCGATGTCAATTTTGCAGCGTGTTTGGTGTTGATGGACTGGCCATGGGATACCTGGGCGTCTTGGCTTCTTTTTTTCGCTTGAATGGAATCAGGATTTGGGGCTGGAAGCCATTGATTGCTCTGGGAAGGATAACCAGCGCTGGGACTTGGCGCTTGTGCTGATTCGGATATTCTTCTTCCATCATCTCTCTTGATTTCTCTTTTTTGCTGCCTGTCATTTTATTATATCCCATCAGTTCACTCTTCTCAATTGTTGCTTCTTGTCATATACAAAGCCTGTGGATAGCCTATCTATATCACGGTATGATTTTTACTTTGACCTGACCTGAGACCCATTGTTTGACGGGGTAGCTGGAACCATATTTTAACACCAACATAGCTTATAGTAAAAGAAACCTGCAGCAGGCGGCAATCAACAGTCAGCGGCTGACGGCGGGGAGATCCGACCGCCCTTCACTGGCAGGATTGCTGGCAGGATTGCAGGCAACACTAAAACTGGTCTTATCTCTCTCTTGATTTGGTTAAGCACTGCAGCTAAAGGGACCTACTAATCAACCCTCAGTCTATCCATTTGGAGCTAAAAAATTGCACCATTCCCATGGATCCTTATAAGAAGCCGCCTGCTGGTCAATCCGACCGTCTTCTGCCCCCGAAACTCTCCAGCTGACCCCCCAATGCCTTTTCTTCGTGCTGTGGTGGTGGGCTCCGCCCTCGCCTGTACTGCGGCCGGCCAGTTCTTCCCTCCTAAGCCTGAAGGTGTCACGGTCATCGATTCAAAGCAATACGAAGGTGTCCAAATCTCCTACAAAGATGTATGCTCCCAATGGAAACACAAATGAAGCGTCAAGCCACATGCTAAGTTATCTACCAGCCTGGAATCTGTGAGACTACGCCTGGGGTCAAATCGTACTCCGGCTATGTACACCTTCCTCCGGGTACCCTCACTGAGCTCGGGGTGGACCAAAAATACCCCATCAACACCTACTTCTGGTTCTTCGAATCGCGGAACAACCCTGCCACCGCTCCCCTCTCAATTTGGATGAACGGCGGTCCTGGCGGGTCGTCCATCATTGGGTTGCTGCAGGAGAATGGGCCGTGTGTTGTCAACAAGGATTCCAATTCAACGGAGCTTAACCCTTGGTCATGGAACAACTATGCCAACCTGCTCTACATTGACCAGCCGGTTCACACAGGGTTTAGCTATGATGTGGCCGTAAATGGTACCTTTGATGCTCTCACCGGTGACTGGGATGTCTCTGGCCTGGAGGCTGGGATCCCCGAGCAGAATAATACCTTTTACGTGGGCACATTTCCCAGCATGAACAACCAGACCACGATCAACGGGACTGTGAATGCTGCCCGCGCCTTGTGGGTGTTTGCCCAGACGTGGTTCTCGGAATTCCCCGAGTACAAGCCCCATGATGACCGCGTCAGCATCTGGACTGAGTCATACGGAGGACGCTACGGCCCGGCGTTTGCAGCGTTCTTTCAGGATCAGAATGACAAAATCGCCAACAGCACCCTGTCCGGCCATCCAATCCACCTCGACACGCTTGGCATCATCAATGGCTGCATCGACCTGCTGGTCCAAGCGCCGAGCTTTCCCGGGATCGCCTACAATAACACCTACGGCATACAAGCCCTCAACCAGACCATCTACGAGGCTGCCATGCAGGCCTGGAGTAAACCGGGCGGATGCAAGGACCAAATCATCGAGTGCCGTGCGGTAGGCGCCGAGGGTGACCCGGAGATGCACGGCAACAACCAGACCGTCAATCGGGTCTGCCAGGATGCGGACGCCTACTGCATCGATGAAGTCAAGGGCGTCTTCCACAAATACTCCGACCGCGGCTACTACGACTTTGCGCATTCGGCGCAGGACCCCTTCCCCGAGCCCTATTTCATAGGGTACCTGAATCAGCACTGGGTGCAGGCCGCGCTGGGCGTGCCGGTCAACTACACCCGCTCCGCGGAGAGCATCTGGGAGGCGTTCCGGTCGACGGGCGACTACGCGCGCTCGGACCGCCGCGGCCTGATCGAGGATCTCGGCTCCGTGCTGGACGCGGGCGTCAAGGTGGCCCTGGTCTACGGGGACCGGGACTTCGCCTGCCCCTGGACCGGCGGGGAGGAGGTCAGCAAGCTGGTCGAGTACGCCGGGGCGGAGCGGTTCCGGTCGGCGGGTTATGCGGAGCTGCGGACGAACTCCTCGTACGTGGGTGGCATGGTGCGGCAGTCTGGCAACTTTTCGTACACGCGGGTCTACCAGGCTGGACACGAGGTCCCCGCCTATCAGCCCCAGACGGCGTACGAGATCTTCCACCGGGCGCTGTTCAATCGGGATCTGGCGACGGGGAAGATCTCGACGGTCAAGAACCCGGGATACCAGAGCCAGGGGCCGCAGTCGACGTGGAATATCAAGAATGCGGTGCCGGAGATCCCGGAGCCCATGTGCTACGTGCTGGCCTTGCAGGAGACCTGTACGGAAGAGCAAATTGGAAGCGTGGTTAATGGATCGGCGGTGGTCAAGGACTACCTGGTGGTGGGGAGGAAGTGATTCGAGGGATTGGTGTTGTGTGTCGTGGACCAGATAATGGATCTAATAAGTGGTGGGTTTGGTTAGCATGAAATAATGCAATCAGTATATAGTAGGCTTTTTGGAAGACTGTCATAAAGTTGGTTAGTTGCCTATGTGAATATATGGGAACATGTATAGTGATGGCATAAAACTTCAATTATATGTACATATAAAGTGGATAACCACTGCCCGTTCCCCACACTAGCCCGAATAGGCAGGCAGCCAGCCGACGGGACACTTTCTATACTTGGGCTGGAGTCCAGATGGATCAACTTTCCACTTTCTCGCCTCGATCTCCATTTTTCCCTCCCTGACAGCTAGAGTTGTCTAGAACCACCATTCCGATACGATCGACAGTTGGCTTTCCCCCAGCTTTGCGATCCCTAGCCTCGAATCTGAGTATCTGGTCTCTGTGCCCATGTCCATGCCTGGGTTATCGAACCTTCTCGAACCTTCTCTTGGCCCGGCCAGCGGGGAGACAGCGTCACACGTCACCGCAAGGGCTCACCTGAGGTGAAAGGCAAGCCCGCCAACAACTACTGCATAAGACTTCCACCGTTTTGTCTCCCTCCTACCCAACGACACACCTGGCTTTCGTCTATTGTCCTGAACACGAAAACACCATCCCGATCACTCGCTTTCCCGCTTCTTTCCCTCTTCCCCCTGCATCTTCCTTATCTCACTACTCCCGAAAGTTCCGCGCTTACTGGACCTTCGACGGTGGTGGTCAGTGGGCAGTCAGGATCCTGTGAATCTTCTACGTCATTCGAGATCGTACTTCCTTCCCCGCCCGGTTTCGACCTTCCATCATTCCCCTTGACGCACACCCCGACCGGTGGTGTGATCCTCCCTCCTCGTCAATTGCTTATATTGGAGGCATCGAGTTGCTCCAATTAGCGCTCTTCAGTACCTGAGAACACCTGCGAAACCTGTCGTTTACACACTTGACCTGCATTTGAATCTTTTCGTTTGTCGACAACACCAACACCAACAACACACACACACACTCTCTCTCTCCACAATGGTGGCGGAAACAAAGCTTTACGACGCCCTATCAATCAAACCAGATGCTTCACAAGATGAAATCAAGAAGGCCTATCGCAAGGCTGCCTTGAAGTACCACCCAGATAAAAACAAGGACAACCCGGCCGCGTCGGAGAAGTTCAAAGGTATGCTCTGCATTTGTTTCGTTCTGGTTTGTCTGGTGCACAGCTAACCTAGACTGTTGACAGAGGTCTCCCAAGCATATGAAGTTCTTTCGGACCCCGAGAAACGTAAAGTCTACGATCAATTCGGTCTGGAATACCTCATGCGGGGCGGACCGCCTCCGACGAGTGGCGATGCCGATGGTGGTGCCAACCCCTTCGCCGGAGGGATGCCCAGCGGTTTCTCGTTCGGTGGCATGCCTGGAGGCGGAGGAGGCGGAGGCGGCACCCGTACGTTCCACTTCTCAACTGGACCCGGTGGAAGTAGTGGATTTCGATTCAGCAATGCGGATGATATCTTCCGGAACTTCGCCAAAGCCAGCGGTGGCATGGGTGGCATGGGCGGCGGTGGCGGCATGGATGAAGACGACCTCTTTTCGATGCTCGGTGGCGGCTTAGGTGGTGGCCGGGGGTTCCGAACCAACCGCGGGTCGACCGGGTTCAAGCCGTCTGCGCGTGCCCCGACGCCGGAGCCCACCGTCATGGAGAAGGAGCTGCCGCTGACGTTGGAGGAGATTATGAAGGGCGTGACGAAGAAGGTGACAGTTAAGAGCAAGACGTTTGATCCGGCGACCGGCAAACGCACCGTGCAGGATGTCACGCTGGAGGCGAAGATCAAACCTGGTTTACGCACGGGATCGAAGCTCAAGTACCGTGGCGTGGGAGACCAGGAAGAGGGCGGAAAACAGGATGTGCATCTGATTGTCACTGAGGTAGGTTTCCTGTCCTGTCCTAAACATTTTACTTGTGGTTTACTAACGCTCTGTGCAGAAAGAACACCCCAACTTCAAACGCCAAGGCGACCACCTCATCACAACGGTCGAACTCAGTCTGAAAGAGGCCCTTACCGGCTGGGAACGCATTGTCCGCACGATCGACGGCAAGTCCATCAAGGTTTCCAAGCCGGGACCCACGCAACCGGGATACGAGGAACGATATCCGGGCCTGGGTATGACCGTTTCGAAGAAACCGAGCGAGCGGGGTGACCTGATCATTCGGGTCAATGTGCGATTCCCTGCTAGCTTGACTGCGACCCAGAAGGAGGTGCTGCGGGACATTCTTCCTTGATTTATTTCGTGCAATATTCCCATCATAGTATTGTTACTGCTTTTGATGCTTTCGAATTACCAGGGATCGGATTAGCATAGTTGGCGTTTGGGCGTGAGCGGCTGGATCGCTGAGGATGATGGAACGATGATGATTGATGACGGAGGGTAGTTTAGATTCGAATATACTTCGAATAAAAGTAATACTTAAGTTAAGTTGATTTGGGCTGTAGTAGAGTAGTAGGGTAATCGACATGAGTGAGTTGTATAACCGGGCGTGCGGCAGACGTACTGTGTCTGTAGCCCAGTGGAGAAAGCTCTGGCTACGGGCTTATCGATAACGATAACAATCGATAAGATAAGCACGCGACCAATCCCCAGGCCAGCAGACCGCCAACCCCAACGTCAACATTCAAGCGTAGCTTAAGCTCCATCTCCATCTCCTCACCTAGCTTCACCACATTACCTCTGACTATCCATCTATCTATCCAGCAACCTCATCTTCAAGACCCAATGCACTAAGAGTCATCACTGGTCAGATATCTACCTTCAACCAGACCATCTCTCCATTACCCCATCTCCTCTCCACATAACATAACTCAACACCCAATCCAATCCCATTAGACCCAGCGAAAGAATGATTCCCCCCGTGCACCGCAGAACAACCTACCTCCAAGACCCCTCCACCCCCTTCGACCCCTCCCAAGCCCGTCTCCTCCCCCAGCGCCTGGAGATCCGGGACTTACATAGCGCCAAGCAGGAACGTTTGACCGTGCCGGTTGAGTTGGGCAGTGGTGGGTGGGATGCCGAGGTATGTTTCCCCCTTCGCCCGTCCCCTTCCGCAGACCTTGCATCTTCGGTGTGTGTGTTAACGGTGGGCGGTACCGTACCTAGGTCCTGGTGTTTTTGGGAACCGGTGTGCAGCGGTTAAGTCTGCGGTGGGCTTCGGGGGATGCTGCTGCTGCTGCTGCTGCTGGCGCGGGTGCTGGGGGCGCGGTGACGCCGTTTGCGAGTCGGGTTTCCGGGGGGTTGCACGTTTTTTTGAGGCCGGGGAGGGGGGATACCGGGGCGGAGGCTACTGAGGGGAATAGGGGGAGGTGAGTTCTTTTTTTTTTTTTTTTTTTTGGTTTTTTTTTTTTTTGGGGGGGGGGTTGGGGTTGGGGTTTAATGGTTATGCTAATGGGTTTGGTTGGGTTTGGAAAAGCGAGGTCGTGTGTCGCGTCCTGAAGAAGGTTTTTGGGTCGGAGGTTGCTAAGTGTTTGGATTATGAGGTATGAATTTTTTTTTTAAAATCCTTTGGTGGCAGGTTGGGTTTGGAGTGCAGGCTTGGGAGGGTTGGGGTTACGGCATGGAGGCTAATCTTTTTCATTTCTGGCTAGAAATCTTTCACTAGGTCCGATACATCGTCCGAATACCAATTCTACTCGCCTTTGGCGTCTTTGGAGGGCTTGGTGGATTTTGTTCGGGAGAAGGTTTGTGTGCTGGATACAGCAAGAGAAGACCGGTGTCGTCGCCAGGTCCGGGAATTACTCGCTGCGGACTCGCTGGATCTCGCCTACGATTCTGACTCGCGCAATCTGGTGGTGTCCGCGTTCTGGGCGGATGCGCCGGGGGGCGAGGGGTGGACGGAGGATCTGCACGCACCGGCTGCTGGGTCCAAAGGGAAGATGGAGGTTGGGTTGCTGGGGGCTGAGAGGACGGCTGACCCTGAGGAGATCAAGATGGGTGGGCTGCTGGGGGTGGTCGGGGAGGATGAGAAGTTGAGTATGTCTGTCTTCTTCACGCATACACGGAGAGAAAGCGCCACAAGCTAATCCATGTGCCCCGATTGATTCTAGAACCGACGTTGTTTTCCTTCGCTTCCAGACACCATGCCCTCCCTCGTGATGCGACCTTCTCAGTTGGGTTCTCCCTGCCCACGGGCTTACATCCTACGATGGCCATTTCCCTATCGCCCGCCGCGCTGCAACCCCCAGACGCAACCTGTGCCCTGCATACGTATCTCACGCTGCCGTCCTATCTCTTCGGCGACAAGTACCAGCTGGGCACTGAGGATCCGCTGTTCTTGGATTCGCACCACCTGGTCAAGTTGCTGTCCGTGACGGGCGAGACGGACCTCGAGGCGCCGGACTGGTCCGTGTCGCAGTGGGGGTCGAATTGGCTGCTCGAGCTGGCAACGCCCCCTGAGGAGCAGTCTCCCGAAGAATGGAACGTGACCATCCCGCTTCATTTGCGGTACTTGGCCCCGTCGGAAAGTGGTTATCGCTCGGTCGAGGTCCCCTGGCCTGTGGTGTTCTGGGCGTGTGCCGCCAGTGAGGAGGCCAAGATGCATTTTAACCCCTTCGACCGTGTGGACCTCGGGTGGGAGGGGCTTTTTGCGCCCCAAACCATATTCTACCAGGTGAATCCAGCTGCAGAACAGGGTCGGCTGGTCGAGGAGATCAGCGTGCCCGTGCTGAAGGAGACCGGCTTCTTCAACAGCAGGACCATCGAACTCGGCACGGTATTCGCCATCGTCCTGGGTTCGCTTTGGGTGCTGTGGAAACTCGGCGCCGTAATGCGAACCTCTGGTACTCGCAGAAGCGTAGAGAGCCAGAAGAAGTCCCAGTAATTCGTTTGCCTTGCAGGAAACCCTAGCGTTCTTCCGAGAGATTATAACCGGTTGTATATCCATCATCATTCTCAATCTGATCGCTTTATTCTCTGTCCGGAACTCAGCTGGTAGAAACCGACCCGGCCCCGGGAGTCTCCGCCATGGGCCCTGGCATATCGGTGTACATGAACCGTTCCATGTCGAAGTGCTGGAGACTCGGCATGTCAACTAGTAGATCACTCAGCCAGGAGAACCCTGGGTAATCGGCCAGCGAATGATGCGGCTCCGTAGTCGACGCAGTCTGTCCCGCCTCGATCTGCGACGTCGAAGCAGCCGAGTGCACGTGCAACACATCTTTGAGCACTTTGGTGTCCTCCTCCTTCTGCCGCTGGTGCAGGAGCATGAGCAGGTACGCCGTGCTGTAGGCCTCCCGCATGACCTCGGTATCGTACGCCGCCAGGACCTCGCGGAGGGTGGACATGGCGTCGCCCAGCATCATCAGCGCTGCCCGGTTGTCGATGGCCAGCAGCGTACACACGACCTGGAACGGCACATTGGCGGCCTGATGCCAGGGACAGTTCGACGCCACCATCTCGCGCGCCGCGCGGAGGCCCTTCTCCGCGAGGCCCAGGACCCGATCGAGCAGTGCCCCGGAGATGATGCAGTTCAGGGCCCGGAGGCGACGGTAGATGCACAGCATCAGATTACACTGGACCAGAATCAGCGGGGGCTGGGTGAGCGCCAAGTTCAGTATGTCCGTCAGCGCGCATTCCAGGGCGGGCGCGTCCTGCGTCTTGTTGGGGTCGAGGCTCTCGGACATCGGGAGCAGGCCGAAGATCTCCGTCGGCTGGCTCGGCGAGCGGGGCGTCGGCGGCAGCGACGTGGCGCCGTGCAGGACCACGCGCGACCGCGCCAGCTCGAACGATATCCACACGTTCAGATGACGGGCCATGCCGAAGAGCCGGCGGCGCAGTTCCGGGTCGCACGGTTCCACGGGTTGGCTGAGGGTGGTGGTCGTGGTCGTGTCGCCGCCGCCGCCGCCGCCGGAGAGTTCGAGGTGCAAGCCCGTCGCTTCGATGAGATGCATCAGCGAGCAGCTGGCCATCCAGGCGGCGTTCGGCGTGGCGGTCATGCGGAGGTAGGCCACGCGCAGCACCCAGGCGGTCACCAGGTCCACGGACGGCGGCGCATCAGAGACCATGTGCTGCTCCAGCATCAGCCGGGCGCTCTCCGCTAATTGCAGCTCCGCCGGGGTGGCCGTCCGCTGTGAGAACAGGCAGCCGAGCGCCCCGACGCCGCACAGAACCGCGTCGAACGCGCCGTAGGCGAGGGCGGACTCGGCCGTCGCCGGGAGCCACCGTCGGCTCAGGTTGCGCAGCAGGTCGTCGCGCTCGATGAAGCTGTAGCACGGGTCGACCTTCTCGAAGAACACGGCCACCAGCGCGCGCATCTCATCCTGCGAGATCTGATCCACAATGGGCAGGGCCTTGACGGCGGAGAAGGATGCAGCAGCGGCCGGGGATGGGGAAGGGTGCCGGGCCCCCATGTTCCAGGCGAAGAGATGCAGTTTGGGCGCGTTGGTCGGGTCGATCTTGAGGCCGAGGCGTCTGGCAAACGCAGCGCCGGAGTTGGCGTCCAGCGAGTTGAGCCGCGCGGCGGTCTCATCGGGCGAGGGTTTGGCGGTTGATTCTGCGGACCGGCTGCTGGCGGCGAGGCTTCCGCCTAATCCATCCGGCGTGAGGTTGGGCAGACCCCCCAGGAACGGGGCGGCCTGCAACTGGAACAGCCGCACGTCGCGCTTCTTACGCGACTCCAGGTCGTAGTGGCAGTCCACGCCGAACTGGACGCAGGTCGAACACGGCTGGTCCCCGGTGCATTTGCGCTTGCGCGATTGGCACGAGGTGCAGGCCACTCGCGAGCGCTTTCTCGGGGGTTCGGTCATGGCGCGTGTCTGGGTGGTGCATAGTTACCAGATCATGCGGAGCGGTTGTGCTTGTACAGTCAAAATGTTGGTTGACTGGGGCTGTTTGGAGGTTGTTTGGGAGGGGTCCAAGCGAATCGAGTTGTTGAACTACACGCGGAGAAGAACATGTGATGTTGTTGTCGTCGTTGTTTTGCATAGCTGAGTCAGCGGTGTGATTTGGGCTGCATTATGCAGATGCATAAGCTATCTCTATCTCTACCTCGTACGGAGTAACTTGGTGGCTAATGTGGCTATCAATAGGCCAGATAAGGCTCCGCGACATCGACATGCTTGGCCAGTCAATCGCAGTATTGTCTGCATTACGACAAATGGACAACATCTCTCCTGGTCCGGAAGTCTCGCTCACGAAACAAAGTTAACAACTTGCATTGCAGTTGATGGCAGTTGACAACTGCGGTGAAGAAGTTGAGTTGATATCGAATGGTTGAGGATCCCCTGCATGTGGGTGGAAAAAGCAGTGAGTGAGTGCATTCGGGCAAGATCATCGGAGATCCAGCCTGCATCCGGAAGCCTTTGCTCCCAGCCATTCATCCATCCCTAACGGTGGGTCGGGTGCTGCTGGAGGCGATAATAGCCCATCCAGTCGTGTCTTTGCAGCATGAATTGCTGAATATACCAGTACAGTACGGAGATAATCCCCGACGGCTCTACAACGTATACACTCCACGAACGCTGGGGCATTACGCAGTGTGTCATTTGTCTTATCAAGGCCATTGCTGGCTTCTGGGGTAAAAGATGATATTAGTCAAGGATATCCCCAGATGGCTGTTGGGGAGGCAAGATGTTAGGTAATGAATGGAGCCCAGCAGCAATAGATCCATTCTGTGGTGGAGGAGTTACATCAATAGCGGTACGGTTCGGTTCGTAGTGAGTCACAGACTCCCGGCCCAGGGACGGAGGGGAGTCTGCCGTCGAAGCAAGATATCATCGGAGGCAATTCCAATTATTCACGCACGGTGAATAACAGCGGTGATAAATCCTGGCCCAAGAAAAAAAAAAAAATCCTCAGTCCGATAGCGGGAGGCAATAGCCCGTTTCCGATTGGCGGGGGAACCAGTGAAAGAGAAAAGAGAAAGAGGGAAAAGCACGTGCCCAGGCCGACCGGGCCGGCGGTCGCTCTTTCTTTTAATGCCCTCCCCTTCGCTCCCTTCTTTTCTTTCTCTCTCTCCTTGTCTCTGACTCACCTAATCTTCCATCTTCATCAATCCATCCATCCACCATCCACACCCTTCAATGTCTGTCTAACCAGACTCATCTCTTAAACTCAACTTAAATAAAGACTGGTAACAGCACCGTCGCGCTTATGCGTTTGGCACCTTCCGTCTTCACCTCTCAGGTATGACCGTCACTGTCACGATGAACTCCAAGGAAACAAGAAAACTAACCTCGACCCCCAACAGGACTACATCTCGGATCACCTCTGGAAAGCTTCCGGAAACTTTTGAATAGCCACCACAAACATCTACCTGCTTCACTTCTCATCACACCTAAACCATATCACATTATGTTCGCTCGACTCTTCAAGGCCATGCCCGCCCGGGCCCAGGCCTTCCCTTCCGTGAATGCCTCCGTCCAGTCCCGCTTCATGGCCACCGTTCGTCAGGGACGCCCGGCCACTGAACGCGCTACTTTCACGATCCGAGATGGCCCGATCTTCCACGGCAAGTCCTTCGGAGCCCGCTCCAACATCTCGGGTGAAGCCGTCTTCACCACCTCCCTTGTCGGATATCCCGAGTCCTTGACCGACCCCTCCTACCGTGGTCAGATCTTGGTCTTCACCCAGCCCTTGATCGGTAACTACGGTGTCCCCTCCGCTGAGCGGGATGAGCACGGTCTGCTCAAGTACTTCGAGTCCCCCAACCTCCAGGCTGCCGGTGTCGTCGTCGCCGACGTCGCTGAGCAGTACAGCCACTGGACTGCCGTCCAGAGTCTGGGCGAGTGGTGTGCCCGCGAGGGTGTCCCCGCCATCTCGGGTGTTGACACCCGTGCCATTGTCACCTACCTCCGTGAGCAGGGCTCCTCCCTCGCTCGTATCACCGTCGGAGAGGAGTATGACGCCGATCAGGATGAAGCCTTCGTCGACCCTGAGCAGATCCACTTGGTTCGTCAGGTCAGCACCAAGGCCCCCTTCCACGTCAGCGCCGCCAACTCCCAGTGCCACGTCGCTGTCATCGACTGTGGTGTCAAGGAGAACATCCTGCGCAGCTTGGTCAGCCGTGGAGCCAGCATTACTGTCTTCCCCTTCGACTACCCCATCCACAAGGTCGCTCACCACTTTGATGGTGTCTTCATCTCCAACGGTCCCGGTGATCCCACTCACTGCCAGGATACCGTCTACAACCTCCGCCGCTTGATGGAGACTTCCCAGGTCCCTATCTTCGGTATCTGCTTGGGCCACCAGCTTTTGGCTTTGGCCAACGGTGCCCGTACCGTCAAGCTCAAGTATGGTAACCGTGCTCACAACATTCCTGCCCTGGATCTGAGCACTGGCCGCTGCCACATCACCAGTCAGAACCACGGTTACGCTGTGGATGCGGACACCCTTCCTTCTGACTGGAAGCCCTACTTTGTCAACCTGAACGACGCTAGCAATGAGGGTATGATCCACAAGACCCGTCCTATCTTCAGCACCCAGTTCCACCCGGAGGCTAAGGGCGGTCCTCTGGACTCCTCTTACCTCTTCGACATCTACTTGGATAGCGTGGTCAAGTACAAGAACAGCCAGTCGGCTTTCCAGCCTGGCCGTGAAACCGCTCCCAGCCCTCTCTTGGTTGACTTGTTGGCCAAGGAGCGTGTTGGTGTGCAGCCTACCATTGGCATGCAGAACGTGGCCGCTGCTGCCGCTGCCGCTGCCGTTGCTGCTTAAGAGGTTCGTCGAATTGGGTTTGGAGTTCATGGTTTGGGTACGGTTGGATCATATGCGGTTTCTTTTGTCAAAATGGTTCGGTTCATAATTTGGGTACATTTTTGAGTTTAATGTAGTAAATACATTTTCCTTCTAAGCATAGTCCTTGCTTGTGTGTCTTGTAAACTTGATTTCATTAGTCGTAGCGCAGCTGTAGATGTCTTTTTGCCAGGTCTCAACCCAACCGGCTTTTTTTAAATGCCAATTCCCCGTCAAGCGGTTTCTGACAACCTAATATTTTCTAACCTCTGAAATTAAAGTCATTATTTCGCCACGATCGAAACCACGTCCTCATCCGACACCACATGTCCCAACCCCACTCGCTGAGGGATGTGTCTGGCGCTGGCACCCCACACCATCGCATACTTGAACGTCTCCTTCAGCGTGCGATGGATACTATCACAGACATCCTCGATGGTGGAATTGTGCCGGACGATCAGCGCCTCGGAGAAATCGGGCTCCTCTCCTTTCCTATAGCAGATGTTAGCTCCCCGAATCACCATTGAGGAGGGACAAGCAAACGCCGATAGAGAATCCGGTCGTAGCGATTGAGGGAACAGAACGTAGGACAATATTCTAGGGTGGAGGGGGGGCAGGGTGCCAACGTACCGCTTCGTGTAGACGCGAATCAAGCGGAGTTCTTTCCAGATGCGCTCGACGACGTCCTCGACGCCGAGGTCGAGCTCACAGCTCATGACGGCGGTGTAGGGTTCGCGGGCGAGTTGGTCGAGGAAGTCGAGGCTGACGCCGTCGATTTTGTTGTAGACGTAGAGGCTGGACCGGGTTGTTAGACCTTATCATATTATCCTTCGGGTGGACTTGGCTGGGATAATGGGAGGCGGGCGGGCGGGAGAGGGTTGGGGGATGAAACTAGACATACCATCTGATGTATTTGCGGTGGTCTTTCATGATCACGTCGATGAAGTCGTCGATTGTCGCTGGGGGTGGTGGTATGTGGTGTTAGTTTCAGAGGTGCTTTTGTGGGTCGGGGAGGGGTCCCCTAGGAAAGATGATGGGGAGATGGGGACACATACCATATTCGTCTCGCACGAGGACCTCGCAGTTCAGCATCCTGTAGTCACGGAGCACGTTGAAGATGATCTTCTCGTCCAGGTACTTGGGGGGCGTTTGGAAGGTGATCTTCACCCCGCCGGCCTTCTTCTGTTTGAGGTAGATGTTCCTTTGGGTTGGGTTAGATCTAAGTCAAGATCGCTGGAACGAGAAAACGTACGGCGGTTCCTTGTTGAGACGAATCCCAACGGCGTCCAATTCCGCCTCGAGCAGGGCTCGTTGCTCCGCTCGTTTCGTGGCGTCCAGGACCATCAGGACCAGGTCACTTGTCTATACCCCAACGCCCCCAAAAAACGATCGTCAGTATCATCCAGGCCAGATGCGTGCGTTGATTACACCAGTGGGGCTAGATAAAGGGAGAAGGAAGTCTGCTGCCTACCTTCGCCGCGGAGATGACCTGCCGTCCTCGACCCTTCCCTTCGGCAGCCCCCTCGATGATCCCGGGCAGATCCAGGATCTGGATCTCCGCGCCGCCGTACTCCAGGACACCAGGGATGGCCGTGAGCGTGGTGAAGGCATACGCTGCGGTCTCGCTCTTGGTCTTGGTGATCTTGCTGAGGAAGGTGGATTTACCGACGGAGGGGAAGCCGACGAGCGCGACCCGCGCATCGCCGCTCTTGCTGACGTCGAACCCGGTGCCCCCGCCGCCGGAGGCCCCTGTGGGTTCCAGGAGCTGGGCCCGCAGACGGGCGAGTTTACTGCGAACGGTTGGTTAGTTGTCATTCTTGTGTTTCAAGGGAAGCTAGGATGGATGGAACGCTTGATAGGAAAAGGGACGGATGGGATGGGGATTGAATAACGTGACCTGACCTACCCTTTCAACAGACCAAGATGGTACTCTGACAAACAGCATGATGTTAGGATCGCTTGATCTCCATGCATGCATCTTCCGGGGCAAAGGATTCACCCACCTGTGGCCTTGTTCTCTATTTGCGCGGGTTAGCATGGCATGGTATGGCGGGGCTACCATCGGAGCAGCAGCGTTGCGGCGGCGGGCAAAAACAGTTAACTTACTCTGCGTCCGGCGCATCTCATCTTCAATCCTGCAACAAGACAAAAGACGTCATCAGACCCATTATCCCCTTCTAGCTGAGTGTGTTCAAGACAGAAGGACATACTCCTTGATCTTCTCTGTAATGTTCACCATCGTGCCGGTCGAGAGCCCCCGCGGACTCGTGCTTTCTCTAATATGAGTACAAAATCGACACCGGAGAACCGGACAGCAAGCCCTGCAATCTCTGGAGATTCGAGTCGGATGGGAAACAAGCTGATAGATCCTAGCAGCAGCCTGATAGGACAAAAGTTCTCGACAGGCAGAGCGGTTTGCGAGTGGGGAAGGGGGAAAACAATGAACCCAACCAACAATCCATCTTCAAAATCGATGCGACGCCGCCGCGGCCGACCCTCCCCGCTTATGTAATTTGATGCTGCCGCAGTGCATCTCCGCCCCGCTCTCTCGGAGAGCGAGGACTTACTCTGTTGTCGTTCTCACTTCCTTTTCGTGGCGATTCGCATCACCTGGCAACAGCAGCAGCAGCAGCAGCAGCAATCATGGCGTCGTATTTGGGCGTACCTGGCGCTTCTATCATCAGCAATCGACTAAACCGAAAAATCACCAACCCCTCCTTTCTCTGAACAAGCATCGGCGCTTGTGCAAAACGACCAGTGAACCTCCCTTTTTCTCCGTCGGAAACTGCAGCTCTCTTCCCTTGCCTCGCACCGTATCCAAGGTCTTTCGATTAAGAGCTCCTCCCATCTACGTCCAAGAATAGGACTGGATCAAGTTGCATGGGAGCTTTGGTCAACAAACAGCGGGGTGGGTCGGATCAATGGCAGTGGATGGATGGCTCAGGACTTGACCCGTTCGCTGGAGAAGCCAGCCTCTAGATGAGGTGTGGTCCTGGATCAAGCGGCTGGAGGGGCCTGGGTCACAATCTACGTTATGCTTGAGGCTATGCCTGCGGTGTCGGTGTCTCGGCTGAGGTCCATTGGAGCCTGCTTGCTGCGGCGCTCAAGGGCTGGCAGCAGCAGCAGCAGCAGCAGCAGCACGATCCAGCATGCCACAGCTGGGTTATCATAGCAATGGTAGGAGGGCCGGCTCGGAGATCGCGGGCAACGAGCCCCTTCACTTGATATACACGTCAGAGCTAGGTACTGTCTTACGCTTCTAGTAGGGCCAGTCTGCCTTGTTTAGTCATAATGTTGGCTCAAAGTCGGGGTATAATTCGGGTTGCTAGAAATGCGACGAAGTAGAGATATCTGGCATAAGATCACAGCCATCAAAGAAACATATAGAATTCCACATATTCACGCTCACGCCAAGCCACATGCCACCTTCCACCCTTCACGCTCAACAGCCGCTTGCTAGATCGTAAAATATACAGGACCCCGTCCGGTAGTTGTAAATAAATGCGTTTGTATAGAGCTCCGTGCCGTCGCCAGTTTGTGCCTCGTTCGCGAGATCAGAGAGTAACTCGTGCACTTGATTGAGGTATTTGCGCTCGGTCAGCGGGGCGTTCTGGATGACCGCTCGCCAACTTTCCGGGTCGGAAAGACGGGTGTTCCGAATCGCTTCGAGCAGATCGTCGCGCGTATCGATGGCGGCGACCGGACCATGCAGAGCATCCTCGACCACCTCCCGGGATCGGAAAAGAGCTGGCAAGTTGTCAGTACCTATACTCGAGGTTGTGAGGGTGACAGAATCAGAAACCTACCGGACTCGACAATGTTCCTGCGGTTCGACTTCTTGCTCCGGTGCTGCGGTATCAGGATGCGCACATCGCTGGCCCGATCACCGTTGAATGTGCTGGTTTCTGCTTGGCTTAACAGGCGAGACTGTCGCTGAGGTTCTGCTGTGCCTTCACGTTGATTGCGCGCACGCATCTCGTTGCGGATCCAGGGCACCAGCTCGGGGCTTCGGATATCGAGTTCTTCTCGTGGAGAGAAACTCTTTACTTTGAAGCCACGCTCCTGGCTATCCTGTTTGGCAATGACTATCCAGCTATGGCTGTCTTCCTTGTATTTGTTGAGGAGTTCCTCCAGGGACGAAGCATCCACAGCGAGTTCGGCGCTGATGTCGTTGGCCCACATATCCTGGACGATCTTAATCCCCATCGTACGTAGCACAGTTGGGTCGAAACTCGCAACAAGAACGTCACACTGTAAACTATTAGCACAGTGGAAGAAGTCGATCATTTTGTTGCAGACTTACCCTTCTCGTCTTCCAAAATGCCCCGGTTTCTGCCTCAGGATGCTTGACGGATGTCTTGGCAGCGATTCCTGTTCCCAGGTATTCGAGCATTGCTGAGCTCAGGCGATCCCAGCTCAGATTGAACCCTACAGCGTGAGTCTGAGAGCGGTTTGCCAGCACCTTCGGACGGAACTCTTGAACCAAAGAATCATACCGTCCGCCGGCAGCAAAGACGTCACGCCGCTTACTGTCAAAGACGCACTGGAACAGAATGCTTCCTCGGAAGAATTTGTCATTCAAGCTTCCAAGAGGATTCACATATACTTTGCGCTTCACGTCGAACCCCTTCAAATAGACTGCTAGCAGGTTAATACGAGCGAAGATCGGCGCCAGTCGCTCGGCGAAACGAGTGCCTTCCATGATTGCCCGTAATCGCTTTTGTGTTTGCTTGGGAGAGTCTGGTGTACGTTAGTTACAAGTATGAACCAAAAGGAAAGGCAAACCAACCTCGAAAGTCGAAACGAGCAAGGTCGTCCAATGAGGTCGAAGCGACACCGATGGAGGGCGACCGAAGCTCGCTCCTAATCTTTTGCATGGTCCATTTCCCCACGTTAAGCCTGCTGATCACCTCCTTCACGCGAGGAATCTGAGAAGGAGTGATCCGGCAGAACTCCATGATAAGCTGAAGCAAGTCGGAGTGGTTGACCAGGAAACACATGGGAGATGACCTCAATGGCGGGAATTCGTCAATGATCTCATCCAGAACTTTGATGACTTCTGCCTCTTTCAGCGCCAAATCCAAAGTGTTGTGCGACACAATATCGAAGTCAACCTCTTTGTGGGTTCTAGGCTCCCCTCCATGAGGCATATCTCTGTATACTGTGCCAAAAGCATATGTCTTCTCCAGCGAAGGGTCTTGTCGCGGGATGGCACGTGCGTTCGGCAAAGTAAGGTCAAATGGCAATTGAAGCAGGTTTCCGGAGGAATCCAGCAGCCTCACAGCGCCATTGTTGTAGTGCTGAGACCTCGGGAACAGCATTTGCCTCGTTGTCTCCACCGCTCCGTGCCGGCGAAAAATCGAGGTCAATCTTTCTTTAACCAACCCTCGAACAAGAAGCTCGTGGGCTGCTGGTGTGCCGCGTGAGTCCATGTCCCAGGCAATGTCTTCGTACTTCTTAGGAGATTGGGAGAATATTCCAGAAAGAATCTTCTTGTAGTCAGGAGAATTGGGATCAGACAGCAAGTGCATGATGGCCCTTCTGAACGTCTCTTCTTCCACCTGTAGAGGGATCTGACCACTGTGCAAAAGGTCTGAAGCTGAAGGACGTTGGCTTGGATCATGGTTTAATAGTGACCTTATGATCCGGCCCTGAAGCACCTTCTCCGAATACTGGAATGTCGATGGAAGCGTAAAGTGCTGCTCTCTTATTGCCCGTAATGTCTGGTCACGTTCCATGCCCGTTGGGAGGGGATGGCACATCTCGAAAAAGATCACCCCGAGAGAATACATCTTCATGCAGTCATTAGCAGAGATGGCTAGTTGCTGTGGTCCGTGGTTGAACTTACATCCACCTTCTCGTTATAGTTTTCTGCTAGGCCAGACTTCATCTCGGGCGCGACATAGTAGGTTGTGCCCAGACTACGTGTGAAATCACCTTCAAAATCAGCCGTTGTAGAGGAGCGCACTGCGGTTGTAAATTGGCCACTGGTAGCCAAGCCAAAATCTCCAATGCGTGGGTTATTAGCAACATCAATGAAGATATTGTCCGGCTTAAGATCGCGATGGATGATGCCGTGACCATGAATGTGGCTAAGGCCATCGAGAATTTGCCGGAAGAGACGCCAGGACCGATCGACATCGTCATACAAACCATTTCGGATGAGATCGCGAAGAGTCTTGCAGGTGGTTAGCTTGTAGGTAAAACATAATTGAGAGCAAGGAAGACAAATCTTACATGTTTCTCACAGTACTCCATCTGGATGTAAAGCGTCGTATGTACCGGTCTGCCCTGCGAACCTGATCCAACCCGACTCAACTCTCGACCTGTACCACTTTCTGTCTCGTAGGTCTCTGAGGTGTCTCCTCCTCTTCTGTGGGAAAGCGTGCCATCGTCGTCATCATCACTGTCTGAACCAAACTGGATTTTGGGGTAGCCGCTGGAGCTGATGAAGTCCAGGCCTCCCGTGCTGTAGTCGTAGGCCCGGGAGTCCCGGCTAGCAAAGACATCGCTATCGGTCGAGGAAAGAGCGTCTTCATCTACATAGTCATAGTCTTCTTCGATCCACGCGGTATAGTAGCGTACTACGTACGGGTGGTTAAGACGGGACAGTAGCATGATTTCCGACAGCGTATCTTTCAACGCAGTGGTAGACTTCTGAGATATTTTCTTCACTGCGTAGAAACGACCATCAAGCTTATTTCGAGCCTTCACAACCTGACCAAATCCACCTTTTCCCAGTCGTCCGGCTTCATCAAAATCCTGGTTATAGCGTGAGAACGCCGGCAGTGCTCCAAGAGAATCAAGACGCGGACGCCTCGGGAGAGAAATAGAATTTGCAGCACTTGTGCGAGCAATCAAAGGCGCATCAACGCGGAAGAACTCGGACGGTTGTAGTTGGAATGCTGTGGGCCGCTTTTTGGGGTCTGGACGAAAGAACTCGTGTAGTAGGTCCTGCAGCGGGGACGTTAAACCCAAAGTTCCCATCATCGCATTGGCCGACGTATAGCGCTGGAGGACATCTAATCCAAAGCCCATCTGGAGAAAGACAATACCCAAATCCCATACATCAGTTTTCATGGTAGGTGGGGCTCCCTCGTGGGCCAGTTCAGGTGGCATCCAAAATGGCGACTTGGATATAGCGAGCGACCGTTTTCCTGCCGTAGAAACAGGCAAAGCCTCTTCGATGCTAGCTTGCAGTTTCACAATGGTTCCTCCCGTAGGTGTTCTGAACAACAAGACACGTCCGCAACTTATATTGCCGTGAACAAACCCACTGCGGTGATAATATTCCAAAGCCTCCAGTAGTTGGATGGTCCAGCTGCGGAGCAATTCGACCGGAACCGTTCCAACCATGTCTAGGAATTCCGCAAGAGGCCCCTTATTTGAGTATTCGACCAATGCAGAAACCTTCCAAATTGTCTCCTGCGAGCTTAGAGGTCTGGAGATCTTGAATCCAATGAAGTCTCGAATGTTCGGATGTCGCAGCTTTTTGAGACCTTCCAGTTTATCCTCACTTAAGCGCATTCTTTCCCGAAATTTCAAAGGGTCGACGCCTTTTGGGTCGAGTGACATTTCCTTTAGCACAAGGAGAGGGGCATAGGCTCGGTTGTCGGGCGCGATAGGTCTCACAGTACATGTTTCTTTGTACTGGCGACTCTTCAAGAGTGACTTTCCGGATACGGCTCTAAAGAACAGCGGATCCTGACCCGGCTCCGTCACGACGAGGGGCGGATCGAAGGTGATAGCACCAGCGGCTTGCTGCACGCCATCCGAGTCTCCATTGGCGTCTAAGCCAGGCGTGCGACTCTTCCGACGCGACAGCTTTGTCCGCTCCCTTAGCCGGTCCTCGAGCAGCTGCTGCAGTGCACGCTCTTCTTCTGCGGTGGCTGCCTCCTGTTTGCGGATTTCTTCCTGTCGTTCTAGCTCGGCTCGTTGATTGGCAGCGGCTTCCTGCTCCATGCGTTCCTCCTCAAGACTAGGAAGATCCTTGTCTTGCGCTTGCGCCTCGGCCACGTCTTCAAGGACATCCTGGATGGACACGGCCAGCTCATAGATCATCTCAGAGCCCAGAAGGGTCTTGGGTTTGCTGCGGATAATATCTTGAACTCTCGAGCGAGCACCCTGGCGTAAGTCGTCCAAATTCTCCAGGGAAAGGTTCGGAACGGTTTTGGGGTAGGTCGTCGGTAGCTCCACTAACAACTCTAAATGTACCTCGGGGTTGGACGACGCTCGGAGATGAAGCTTAAAGGAAAGCTCGGATGATTGCTGAAGTGACGCGAGTCAGTTTGTTCTCTATCACCAAGCATTCGGCTGAAGTATTGTCGAGCATACCTGCCAGGCGGAGCGCCGGTGCGCAACTTCTTCGAAATCGTCGCCATAGATCGAGCGCAGGGCTTCCACCTCGTTCTGGTGGATCTCCTGGTAATTGGTGGGGGCGACTATGGGTACGGCAAAAGCAGAGGGATCTGGGGAGAGCTGTTTTTTCTCCGCTCGAGGAGAGCCAATCTTGGGGGCATTGTTGAAATTCTTCTTCTGTTTGTGAGGCATAGCGGGGCGTTGGGCGGTGTGTGGAGATTAATGTTTGCACCCAGATGGAATTGGCCTTTGCCACGGAGAATAGTGACAAAGATGCAGCCGAAGCTGCAGCCCTCTACAGCTCAGAAAAGCACATATTCGGAGATTAAAATAAGAATGAAAGGAGGAGGGGGGGAGAGGGGGGGGTGGAAGAGGTGAAGATGGAAGGGCGGGAGGAGAAGAGAAAGGTGGGAAGAATAATGTAAGTGTAGGAATTAGGAAAAGAAAGACAGGCCACAGGCCAAAGAGCGGTAGCCACACGGACCAGCTAAACTTACAACAAGTGGAAAGTGGAAAGGCGGTAAGTAATGCCCGACTGTGGATCGCCCCGTCATTTTTCCGCTGACCGCCTTTGGGCCTCTACCGTAGTGGGTGCTGGGGAAGACTGCTAACTACACTAAACCAAAGAGTAAACAAAGCACAGCGTTCCACGTCAATTCCCCTGCCGGTCGCGCCCCTCTCACTTGCCTCGCTGCCTGTCTCTGTCGCCAATGGTTGTCGCTGTTGTCATGCAATTCTCTTCCAGCCTGCTCTTTTAACTCTTTTACTGCCAGACATCAGAGTTTTCTTCGCTTATGATTCTGCATTCGACATGTTGGGGTGGATCACAGGCCAGGAAGAGCAAGTCGCAGGTAAGTTATGTCTCAATGCTATACTATACTATCGCTGCCCGCCTTGCGCCGGTGCACGCGCGCGCCGCACACCCACCCACCTTACCCCCCCCCCCCCAAACCCTCACGGCCCAATAATGCTAGCCATTCTCACCTGACTGTATGCAAAGCGCGGTCTCCGCGGGCTGACTTGTTCTCTCCCCCTTCCCTGTTTCATTGTCCTAGAAGACCTAGACAACTCCAAGGTTCTCGAGCCACCAGAGACGCCCGCACCCGTGTTTGCGATTCGCGCCTTCAAGAGTGCCTTGTTTGGTACACCTGCTGCCGACAACGATAACGCAGACACCGGCAACCGCGCAGCCAAAACAAAGTCTGCTGCAGCCAATCACCGACTCGCCGATAATGTTGTTCTGAAACCTACGCAGAACGCAAGAGATGTCCCTCGCGCCACCAAAGCCGACCTTGATCTAGCTGTGAACGCGATGGCCTCTCCCACTAAAAGCATCCTCGTGACACCCGGAACTGCCTCCAACCGACGAAAGACGGTTTCTTTCGGTGAAAGTGTGGTGGATAACGAGCGCCAGCGTGACGATCTATCTGCGAAATACATCAAGACACCAGCAAGTCTCGCCAATAATTTCAGCAGCCAATGGTCTTCGGGCTCGTCTGCATCAAAACCAAGAAGCAAGCTTACCCAAGCTTTGATGGATTCGCGCGACAAGCCCGCTAAGGGCGTGGACGTCTTTGTTGACTCTACCTCCTCATCAGAGACACAGATCAACATGTCGCAACCGGAAGAGGATGACAACGATGACACTATCAACCTTGACGAACCGCGATCACAGTCCGGGAAGTACTGGAAGGCGGAGTACGATAATTACCGGAACAAGACCACCTGGGAGATCAAGAAGTTGATTCAGTATCGCTCGGCGGCGAAAACATACGCTAAGAAGAAGGATGAGGAGGCTTCTCGGTTGGCCGAGAAGTTGAGAGAGGAGGAACTTAGGGTCGCGGAGATGGAACGTCATGTCACTCACCTGGCTTCGACCATGGTCGGAGAGAACGCCAACGCGGACAAGGAGAAATTGGTGCAGGAACTCACGAAGCAAACCGCATTAGCGTTGCAGTACAAACATCGAGTCAACTCACTGCGGAAAACATTGGAACGTCATGGTGTCGTGGGGCAGGAGACGAGTGAGGTCGCTGATTCTTCGGTTATTGCCAGCCCTTCTGAGCAGAAGACCGATAGCGTCTACAAGGTCCAGCAGGCTCTGGATCAAGCGAACGCCAAGATCGAGGAAATGAAGCGCCAGCAAGAAGAGTTCAATCAGCTGAAGGATTTAGCGCGCATTTCGGAGCAGAAGGCTTCAGAGTTGCAGAAGGAGAACGCGTCATTGAAGCAGACGCTCGCCCGTGTGAAGCAGGAGATGAGCAAGTACGAGGGGCGTCGCAAGGAGAAGGAAGCGAAATTGAAGCAGCGCGAAGTCAAACTCGAAACGAGAATTCAGGAATACCGAGACCGCTTGAAGTCGACTGCACAACAGCACCGCCAACACGAGGAGAGCCTCAAAGCGTCTTTCAGTGAGGAGCGTCGCCGGATGCAAGAGCAGGTCGACCAGCTCAGAATCAAGCTCACGGCCATCGAACGTCTACCACAGCTGCAAGGCCGCGCTCGTCGCTCGGAAAGTCCTCGAAAAGACCACGCCGGGGTTCACGTTTACGATTTCGGCGTGCAAGCTAGCCCCGAAAAAGAACCGCTGGAGGAGACAATCGAGCTCGACGAGCCACCGAGCCCGAGCCCGCGAGCCAAAGAGCGACGCTCGTATCCGTCTTCAAGGTATACGGCAGGCGATCTCGACCTGAAACGCGCCATGAGAGCGATGGGGATCAGCGACGAAGACCAACTGGCGTTTCTAGGAGGGGAGACTCTCCAGGCCCCTCGCTCCCGCTACCGCCACGGCGATGAAGCCGTCCCTCCATCCTCACCTCCAGAGTACCCGTTGGTCGAGCCTGCACGTTCACGCCTAAAGCACAAGTACGACGCCAACAGCTACCGAAGCACCCATCCACTACCCAGCAAATCCACCATCACCTCTCTTGCCCACCATCTCGCCCAAAATCTCGACGACAGCCATCAAATCCGCACCACTACCACCACTAACGACCGTCTCCGCTCCCACCGCCCCTCCAGATACGGCCTCGATGCCGTCTCCGGCGTATCAGAATCACAGTCCTATCCCCTCGACCGCACCTCCAAACGCAAACCCAGCCAGGCCGCCGTGCAAAGGGACTCCATCCCGCTCGACCGCAAGCTCTCGGCCCAGGCGCGCCTCAAGCAGCGCAAGGATGAAACCCGCAAACCCAAAGAGCAAGGCAAGGAGAATATCCGAACGTACACCAACCCACCGTTGTCGGTACTCGAAGCCTGAATCGAGAACTATCATATCATAATGACGAACCTCAACAGCCTGCCACGCAACCAGCGCCCTTTCTTTTTTCCGCCGCTCGTGGCAGGATACTAAACACGAGATCTAAAAATCTTTTAACTCCCATTTGTTCTGTCCTTCTTGTTTTTCTTTCCTTTTCTATTCTGATCTTCTATGTTCGATCTGGTTCACTCAGGAGGGTGAGAGGGAAAGTATACCATTGTCAAGGGCGCTACCGGGGGGATTCGGTTTACAGATCATCACATTAGCTTTGTTTGTTTGCTGTCACAGTTTGTTTTGTTTTAGTTTGTCATGCCTTTTCGTTCTCGTTTTTACGCTTCTACTTTCGCCCCTTCTACCATTCCGTGCTCTGTTTTTGGTCACCCACGGTCTCCTCTGTTCTTGTGTTTGTTGTTACGTTTCAAGAGGGACTCGGTCCGGGAGCTACGTTTGCTAAGTAGCTCTGCCTGTCCACCTGACTATATGTGCGGCGTAATCTTTGCTTTTCTTAGTCTTTCTCCGGTTGGGTGTACTGCCTACTCATGCCTCCCCCTATGCCGTGTCTCTCTAATACCTAACATCACTATACCCCCAATCAAAGAATCAAACACTCACCGTTGATGAATTACACATCAACCCCTGTTAACATCATCTCCACGTATGAATATCTTGCCTTCTTGCATACCTAAACACCAGACAGAGTATCCATATCATCTATCTTTGATATTTGGTTGACAAAGCGAATTGTATATCGGCTATCAATATCCGGAAAATTGCAGCGTCTATCTATTGATTTCATCGATCTATCCATCGATCCCTCTCATTTATCTACATTCCACTGACATGGTTTATTTCGAGCCTTGCTTGCCATCACTAAATGAGACAACAGCCCACTTGCCGCTCCAGGCCCATTTGCGTGCCGCGGAGCCCCCGCCTTCCGGCAGGGCGCGGAGCTTCTCGTCCACGCCGGCAGGGAGACCGACCACGACGTCCGCCTTGCAGGTCCGGAAGGCCATGACGCGGAGGCCGGAGTCGGGGCGGCCGAGGGGCCCGATGGCGGTGGTGAAGGGGGTGGTTGGGTCCCAGGTGGACTTTTATCGGAAATCCGTTAGATTTGCCTGATGCTCTGATCGTATAAAGGGGGGAAGGAAGAAGGTGGAGAGAACAGGAAACTCACATCATTGGTCAACTTGCGGTAGTTGAGATCACCCTTGAAGAGAACGAGCTCACTCTGCTGGAGATCCTCGTAGAGATCCGGGGCGAGGGCAGGCATGCGCCAGTATCCGCCGGGGAGGGTCCAGAAGGGGTGCGGGCGGATGATGAGCTTGCCCTCGGCGTGGAGGTGGCTCCAGTGGTCGAAGAGGAAGGTCACCTCGGACAGTTCCTTCTCGGAGAGCGGGTCGTGTCTGCGGCCGGAGTCGTCGGGGGCCGTGAAGAAGCCCTGGGCGTCGGCGAGGGCGTTGATGAGGGCCATGAAGTCCGGCGGGGTGACGTCGGACACGAACCACGGGATCACTTTCGGGTGGAGGACGACGGTCGTGGCCAGGCCCGCGGAGAGCAGGTAGCCGGCGAGGATGAGGTCGACGAACAGCTCGAAGCCGGAGTTGTCGAGGACGATATCGACGCGCCGCTCGTGGGTCTTGCGCTCGCGCCGCGCCCGCTGCAGCACGTCGAAGGCGGCATCGAGATCGTTGACGAGGATGTTCTCCTCGGCGGCCTTGCGCGCCTTGGAGCCCTGAAGCTTCTGGATGTCTTCGTAGGTGAGCGAGGTAAGAAGGGAAAGGTCGGTGGCGTTGCCCCAGAGGCAGATCTCGCACATCTCCGAGAAGAGCACCCGCTCCGCCTGCTCGACCTGCTCCGCGGTGCGCCCGCCCTCGTTGCCCTTCTCGGCTTCCGTGGCCAGCTCCTTGTATCGGGCGGCCAGCTCGAGAACAGCCGGACGAGACGACTTGAAGGTGGAGAGCTTCTGCCGGGCGAACACGTCATATCCCTTCCAGTGCTTGGAGAGCGAGAAAAGGGTACTCAAACGTCTGTCTGATTATGTCGTCAGCGTCAACTGTTCCCTCACCCCCCGAGCTCCGAGTACGCACAGAGGTAGCATTCCGAGTATAGCCACGAGACATCGTGCCACGCCGGGTTCCCTCGTTGTTCGAGCTCCTTGTTGTAGTCTGCGATATCGGGTTGGCCGTCGTCGGGAAGGGGGCTGTTGACGAATGGGCTATGTTAGGACGGTTTGCCACCGGCGTTGAATGGGTTGAAGTCTCACGTCAATTGTCTGTTATGCTGCAGCTCATACTTGAATGCCGCAAGCTTCTCGGTGATTTCCTTTCCTTCCCGCCGTTTCTCCTCATCGGTTGTTTCGCTAACGGTGCGGTGCAGGTCATCAATGGCGCCCGTCTGCGGTATATCGCTATCGTCAGCATTGCATGCCGATGATCTTCGGGGACAGACGTACCAGGATGACCGGCCAGCGCTCACGAGCCGAGACGGAGGCAAAGCTGGACTGATCGGAAGTGAGATACTGCGCTGGTGGAGGGGAAAAGGCGGGGTCAGTCGAGTACCGTTTGAAGAGAGGCGGAGCATGGACCTACGGGTTTTTGGGTCGTATTCCATTGTGCAATATTAGTGTATGCAACTGAAGATTCTAAGTAAACAAAAGAAACGAGAAGAGATGGTGTCTGAAGCAGAGAAGAATGACGGAGGGAAAGCAAGCGACTTGGTTGAGCCAGGAAGAGATCGCGGGGTTGCCGCGGTCGGAAATCCCTCCGCCCCGCAGCCAAAAACATTAAAACATTATCAATCAGTCATTCTCTAATTGCGCTGCGGTCTATTCGTCTGTCTACAAGGAAAGAGGGACATTTGCTATAGCCATAACCATCAACTATCACCCATCCACCATCCAAAGCAAAGCAACAGAACAACAAACAAGCACAATGCACATGCAGAGAAAGGCAACTCCGCATGACAGCCGCCAATCCAACACCGCTCAGACCTGCATATGCCGGGCAAGAAGCGGAAATAGTAATGAAGATGAGAAAGAATTAAGAGAGCATAAAAAAAAAAAAAAGAAAAAAAAAGAAACAGAAAGAGAAAGAAAGAAAACACCCCTCAGATCCAGAACGATAGATTTAATCCGCTATGCAAAACAAAATGGTCCTCAAGGTCGTCATCAATCAAAAATCATTCAATAGATACATCGCCCTCCCTCGTACTGTGGGTCATGAGGCAATCCATCCGAATCCTCGTCTCTGTATTCGGAGCTTCGCCTCCAAGCCGTGAGGCTTTCCCCGCGTTCATCATTCCAAGTCAGAATGGGGCTCACATCATAGACATGAGGGAGCTTTGTGCGTAGGCCTGCGACCGTTTTAGCGTCTGTTCATCTGTCTTTGTTGGGGGGTCTGCAAGACTTACCATCGGCTTGATGTCAGGGTGGGGAACAGCCTCGAAGACCTGGTACTCAAGTTTGAGCTCAGGCCCAATCTTGATGAAAGCACCCTTGTTCTCGGTCGAATCGCAGTACTTGGGCGCCGAGAAAACCGTGATGCAGCGTCCATCATGCTCAACCTCGTAACCCTCCATGCGAACCTCGTGCGAACGGATAATCGCCTCCAGCCCGTTCTTCTCACAGAAGCGCTTGGTGACGTCGGGTCCGAATTGAAGACCAACACCGCGCTTGCTGGGTCCACGACCAGGTTGGGTCTGCGGGTCGGTCCAGAGCATCTCCATCATCAATCCCTGCTGGCCCGGCTGGCGCTGGTTGTGGCGGTTCAACTTGCGGATATCGTCGAGGGTAGTGTTGTCGTCGGAGAAGAGACCACCATGGAGAACAAGGTACTTGTTACCGATCAACGTGGCCAAAGGCAGGGCGGAGAAGGACTCCGAGAAGACCTTGAAGGTGGTCTCGTTGTATTTAGCCTTGCACTCACCCTCGAAACCGTACACCTTGTTCATGTCGTCCGTCTCGTGGTTGCCACGGTTCAAGAAGATGCGGTTGGGTCTCAGCCACTTGTACGCGTAGAGAAGCAGAGCAATCTCGGTCGACCACGATCCACGATCCACAAAGTCACCGTTAAAGAGATAAGCATTCGTCTCGCTCGGGTAGCCGTTCAAGCGGAAGATCTCGAGCAGGTCAAAGTATTGTCCTTGTCACACGATCAGTATCCACCAGGAAACAAGAAAACAAGAGCTGCGCTAGGTCCCTTACCGTGCGTATCACCACAGACCGTCAAGCGGGTACCCTCCTCGACACCGACCTCCACCATCGTCGGCTCAGCGTAGACAATGTCCTTCACGGCCTTGATTATTTGGAAGACGTACTTGCGGTGAATCTTCTTGCCGTTCTTGAACCGCTCGATCATATCGTCGATGAACTCCTGGGTCATCTCGTTCTTCTCCAACCGCACGCCATCGTAGCTCGCATCCACGGCAATCGAGTCGATATCCAGGCTCTCGAAAGCCGAGGGCGGATCGCTAACCTCGATGGCCTTCTCGAACTCCAACCGGCGGACCAGTTTCTCACATTCCGCGAGCTTCAGCTTCGCATCGCGGTTTCCCGGATCCCGCTTAATCACTGCCCGGAAGTCCTTGAGGGCTTCCTTGTAATGCAAAATGGCGCTGTTCGCAAGGGCTCGTCTCCAGTATGCCTAGGTGATGTGACATTGTCAGGATGTAGTCCAAGCACAGGCGCTTTGAAAACACATGCAGGACGTCAGACAAACCTTGATGAAGTTGGAGTCAAGCTCCAGGGCCTTGGTGGCATCTGCAATCGCAAATCCGTACGCTTCGAGCTTGATATGCGCCTAGATCTCCCGAACGCCACCCGGCCAAAGTATCAGTATACAGGAAACCGCCACTTAAGTGAAAATCGGGGGGGGGG